CATCCCGGGAGGCTGCAAACATGGCTCCCAATGTTACACAACCCCCGCCTCTCTCGCCGCCGGCCACACGCACACGCGCTCCCTCAGGGAAAAGACCCCGGCGGGCGAGCAGCTCAAACTTGGCTTCCCCCAACCCTATCGCCCTGCCCGGGCGGCCACGGGGGCCCGCGGGCGCCAAAGAGTTAATCCCCGCGCGCTCGCTCCCCCCTCCGCGCCCGCCCGAGCCCGCGAGCTGCGCCCGTCCCCGAGCCGGGCTGGGAAACCCACGGCCCCAGCCCCGCAGGTGGCCACCATTACATGCAAGTCATCGGGGGGGAGAGGGCCCCCGAAGGGGCTCTGCTTACAGCCGCCGGCGTCCGGTTCCTCAGCTCCAGGTGGATCCTTCTCTCCATGTTTCCCTCTTCCCCCCTCTTCAAACTTAACTTTCCGCGGCGGAGGCGGAGGGGGGAGAGGCGTCCCGGCCTGAGCAGCGAGGGCCGTCGGAAGGGGTCTGCTCGCGGCGGAGGCCGGCGGCGCGGTCCGGGGCGACGTGCGGCGAGCGGGCGGGAGGGCGAGCGGAGCCCCTAGAGCCAAGTTACTCGCGGGAGCGGAGAGAAACCATGGAGGGAAAAGGGGGCTGGAGCGCAGCGCTGGTCTCACTACCGCCGCCCCCGGCCGCGGCCCCGCACTGCGTTTAAACCGGCGACGCGGCGCGGGCGGATGCTCGGCTCCACTGGGCCCCGCGCGGCGGCGCCGCTCGGGTCGGCCGCCGCGGCTGCACCAAGCACGGGGCGGGGAGACGCGCGGCGGGAGGGGCGGCGGATGGGGAGAAAGGCGCAGCCCCGGGGCCTGGAGCGCTTTCCTCCCGTCCCGGGAGTGCACGTGGGCACGGCTGATGCAAGACCCGGCTCGGCGGTCCTCGCCGCGGGCCTGAGACCCCCCGGGCCGCGCCTCGCCGCGCCGGGAGGCGGGAGTCCGGCCCGCGCTTGGAAGTTTGCACGCGAGCCGGGGGAGCTTTACAGGTTGGCTGCGCGGCTCCATCCGCGGAGGCGCGCCACAAAAGAGGGAGAAGGGGACAGCTCGGAACGGGGGCTTTGGGGTTCACCCTCGCTCCCCTAGTCTGGGCCCACAGCCCGAACCCCGCTGTCTCCTTGGCGAGGTGGTGTCAGCAGGACTGCGGGGGACTCCCGACGGGGCGGCACCGCGGCCTGGCCGAGTTGGCCGGCTGGGGACGCCGCAGGAGGAGCCGCGCGGAGCATGGCCCTGGGTTTTGTGACATTTAAATGGCAGCTAGCGCGCGGGTGGGGGGGGGTACTTAGCATTCCCAATGGCGGCTCGGAATTTTCCCTAAGACACTTATCTCCCTTACTCCTTGGAGCACCCCTCCTGAGGTGTGTAAATTCTTGACAGCCTCCGTTTGGGGGACACTTGGCAGGCAGCCTTTGCAATGGTCTGGTCACCCGTCGGACTCAGGTTAGAGCGGCTTGACGTGCGCTGCAGGCCACGGGGAGGACCCTGCACTCGGTTTAAAATGTAGATCGTGTCAAGTGGGGTACCACCTTGATTCTAGGATGGGCAAGAGGCACTGAAGAACGAGTTTTAAGAGAAAAACTTAAAATGCTCTATATTAACCTAAGATTTTCTGGAAGTGGAAAAGCGAAAAACCCGTTTTACTTAATTTAGTGACAGAATCCAAACTTGGTTTCCAATCCCTTACGTACCAGTTTTTAACCGTCATAAGGGAATTAGAATTTCAAAGCAAAAGACAGTTGAGAACTTCCCAGTGTGTTGTGTCCTGACTGCTGTTGTATTTTAAATGTTGGCCTTAGCCTTTGTGTAAGAGGGGAGATGGAGAGGGCAGGGGTCCTCAGGCTGTCCCCAGACGTCTCTAGCTGTGAGGTTATGCACCCCAGGGCCAGGCACCGAAGGCTTCTGTGACAGACGGATAGATTAACT